ACTGGATACCTTCCTTGGGCCAAGTGCGTGGACCTTACAAAGTTGATTCAAAGAACACAGCGATGCTGACTTTGGAACATTTGCTACAAAAAAGCAGCACAACATTTTGCCTTGCCAAGTCGACAAGTTTTCGAAAGATATTTTCCAAGCAACTGTCCAGAATCAGAAATGGCTGAGGTCTGCTCTGACTTTAGTTTTCATCTCCTTTAATGGCAGGTTGTCTTACCTTGCCGTTCTTCAGCTCAGTCAGGTGGTCTCGTCATGGCTGTCATCCAAAATGCCGGAGCAACACAAGGAGGAGATTCTCTCCCTTCCCCAAGTACTGACCCAGAGACACATTCCTACAGGAGCACAGGAGAACCACAATGTACGCTGCAGTTCACACATGCCGTATCAATTTGTGAGCTGGAATTTGAACTGAAATAGCCACAATCCACAGGATATTACATTGAATTTGAATTGGAATTACAAGAAGAGGAATTTAGTGCAATTCAAATAAACATACATACATTATATTATATATACAGTATACATGCATTATATTATTTTCAACATTTCTAGAAATATTGCATTAAATACCGTTATATTATTTCTTCTAAATTTAAATTTGTTGCCTCATTCAAAAACTTAACTGGAATTTCAATTTACAAAACAATGAACATTAACTGTATATACTGCTATCGGGATGTGAAGAGACTTTCAACCAGCATAACAAAATATTTTTCTGAAGACAATCACCTATTGCACCTTTAAGAGTGAGGAGGGAGTGATCCGAGGTGTGCAGTGAAGTAGCCAGTACATGATCAGTGGAGGAGTGTCGTGTGTAAATAAGGTCCAGTTTGTTGCCTGATTTGTGAGTAGCCGTAGTTAATACTCTCTTGAGATCAAAAGAGGCAAGCAGAGTGTGGAAGTCTGCAGCCTGAGGTTTATCTAGGTGGATGTTGAAGTCTCCAAGCATAACTAGGGGAGTACCATCCTCAGGAAAGGTTGAGAGCAGCACATCTAATTCTTCCACGAAGTTACCTAGTGGTCCTGGGGGTCGATAAACAACTATAAAAATTGATTTTAAAAGGGTGGGTAATAGTGACTGAATGTGATTAAAAGGAGCTGTTAATACTCCACCTCTTCCAGTGAGGTTTAGTCTTGAATGACTAGCAATAGATGTAATGAAATCTGCTTTGTTTACTGCAGACTGACAATTCCAGAGACCAATAGAAAAAGAAAGCAGTGTATTAGCAGACATAGACAAGGTGTGCAGGTTGCTAGGATTGCGCTGCCTATAGTGTGTGATGCGTGGTTTGCGAGTGGTAGTAATAGTAGGGATATGGAAACACATAGTAAGAGTTGGTCATTAAAACTGAAACAGAAGTGAAGCAAGGTGTAAAAAAAGAGGATGAATCAATAGCGATACTATGTCCCTTGCCCGTGTCCCTGCCCGGTGGAGTCGATGGTCTATACACTCTTCGGTCTATACACGAGGAGGGCTTCACACGAGGGCTGCCGTGGTGTACTAACCTTTTTTATACCCTATTTCCTAGCAACAACAACTGCGCTAAACACTGAGACAAGAAATAAATACACTTTCGATCTGCTTTTAACTTCCACTGATTGACTGCTTCTCTCAAAGAGTATTTCTTTACACTGTCAAAATGGCACCATGGTGATGCGGAGGAGACGAATTGTTGAATAAAGTTGTTATTTTTGTTTTCTTTGCGCACAAAAAGTATTCTCGTAGCTTTGTAAAATTAAGGTTGAACCACTGTTGTCCTTGCTACGTTTCTGGATCTTGATCGTGGAAGTATCCTTGCTGTCTATGGGAGCTCTCAGATTCCATCAAAAATATATTTTTTAAAGTGTTCCGAAGATGAACAAAGGTCTTATGGATTTGGAACGATATGAGGGTGAGTAATTAATGACAGAATTTTCATTTTTGGGTGAACTATCCCTTTAATGTAAAACAGAGATTTTAAATAATATTTCTAAACATGCAATCATTTTTCTCATTCTATTTTAATCCGTTTAAAAAGTATACCTTTCGATATTAACAGCTGATGACATGGATTAAAGAAATAAACTTTGCTAAACTAATAAAAGCAATTACCCTTTTTAATGCCATTTTTACTGATTATGCATAAAGTATTAATTCAACTTCCTAAAACCCTAGCAACCACCTATTTACGATTTTTTTGTTTTCTTACCTGGAGCCTCTGGAGAGTGGCATGAGGTTACAGAAGTAATACACCAGAGAAAGAATTAAATTACACACAGCATCTGCGTCCTACAAAGACAGAGAGAGAGAAAGGCAAAAAAATACTACTAACACATAACATATTAAGGTTGTATGAGAACCGTTTACGTGACGCTGAATTTATTTGCTTCAAGAGACGTGACTAATGAACACACGCAAGCAGTCACACTACAGGTTCAGCAGGAGACAGAGGAGATTGTGAAATCGATGTTCAGCAGATACAGACAGATGCTAATCTTACCCCGAGTTCAGTAGAGAGCATCAGTGTTTTGCCTTTGGCAGTGAGATCTTTATAGAGCGCTTCAATTTCTGACTGATACTGCTGCGTCCTCTCATCTGTGGTCTGAGTCTCTACTGAAAACAGCATGTTCCCCACTCTAGCACACAAACAACAAAATCATTAGCATAAGACACAAAATAAGGCTCGAAACTATAATCAAGTAATCAAAAAAAAACCTTGCTAAACAGCCTTTATACATTGTTTGCGCTACGAAACGTGTAAGAACTAAAACGGTACAGTTGACTACTTTATTACTTAAGTTGATACGTTTATGTAGATTAAATAAATAAATAAAAAACAATTTAGCTTCAATATTTCATTAAAGGGGATGATTTAGAGATGGAACTGCCATGAGAGGGTTTTAGCATGACGTAGCACATTTATATTCACTGTAAAAAATAAAAAATAAAAATATTGCTGCGATTATTTATCACAACTTAAAAGAACAAGTAATAATGTTTTGTTTCAACTTAAAGTAAATGTTCGCGCTTGATTTAAAATTATAAGTTTAGTTAACATTGTTTAATTTAGTTTAGTTGGGTATTTTATGGAAGCCTGTTTCCGCCACTGAATAAAAACATTTAAAAAAGGTAATTGCAACCTTTTTATCTGACTTTTTGAGTTTACATCTCGCAATTCTGACATATAGGCTAAACTCACAATTCTAAGGGCCCTATCATACACCCAGCGCAATGCGGCGCCAGGTGTGATGCAAGTGTTTTTTGCTAGTTTCAGCCCGATGCAGTTATCATTTTCACGTCCTGCGCCACGTTGTTTAAATAGCAAATGCATTTGCGTCCATTTGTGCGCCCATGGGCGTGCTGGTCTGAAATGAAATGTGAGGTTTACCTTTTTATGAAACTTTTTCAAAGCTTTATTTGAACATTTACATTAGATATTTGAACATTGGTAATATTATTGTTTTAATGATTATGCAAACAAAAAGTCATTTTATTTGTTGTTTGTTGATTTTTAAATATAAAACTTGGTGAAGTGATTTATGTGTCGGTACTTTTTGAACATCTCAGCACATTTTAACAATACCGTGATAATACTGATAACCGTGATAATTTTGGTCACTATAATCGTGATAAGAAATTTTCATACCATTACATACACCAAATTAATCATCATATTAATCATCTTCACCTACAGAAAGCCCTTCACACAGCTGCATATGGAAGCTGTGAGAATTAAAAACATGGCCTGCTTCATCCCATAAACCGAGAATACACCAAAGAGCATGAACTGTGAAGGCATCATATTTCAGAATAGTTTAATTCTCACCGATCTCCGGTGATGGTGATGGTGAATCCGTCGTATTCTTTCCCAGGATCCTTCAGACTGGGCACTTTAGAGTTGACTGTGAAGCCGTCTCTGGTTTTACTGTTGAACTGCTTCAGATATAAAAAAAAAAAAACACACAGAAGCACATGAGAGAAACTCTGTCTTTCTTCATGCGGTTTGTGAGAACATGCATATTTTTAATAAATATGTCTATTAATAAACACAAATGCAAGACAGATGTCAAGCATAATTATGAGCCAGCAAATAAAAAAAGATTAGCAATCACTACACACGTGTTTATCAAAGGCTCTCTCATCAGCTGTTCATATCATTACTCACAGATCTGACCTAATCCTAGATTACGCACACTCATAACTGTCATGTGTTGAGGGCGTTAGTCGTTTCTATGACTAACACTTATTATTGTTCTCTGTGAACATAATTTGGATTATCATATGAATGGTGTTTACAAGAAAGGAAGATTGAAATAAAATCAATGAAAGATATACAAATTTATAATGGCATTATTTATACAGTATATACCGGGTAAAAAGTTTGGAATAATTAAAATAAATTTCTGAAAGAAGTCTCTTATCCTTATACCAAGGCTGCATTCATTTGAATAATTTACAGTAAAGACAGTAATATTTTAAAATTTATATATATATATTTTTAAATGTAATTTATTTCTGTGATCAAAGCTGAATTTTCAGCATCATTACTCCAGTCTTCAGTGTCACATGATTCTTCAGAAATCATTCTAATATACTGAATTGGTTCTCAAGATCATTTATTTTTATTATGTTGAAAATGTTGATATAATATTGTTACAGTTTTAGTCTACAAATAATGTTTATTTTTAGCTGCTCAAATGTTTCGCAAAAACCATGATACGATGCTATTTAAAAGATTAAAAGATAATAATACTTTGAAAACATCAATGACACATTAAATTGAGACTGTAAAGACATTTATAATGCTACAAAAGATTTCTATTTCAAATAACTGCTCTTCTTTTCAACTTGTATGAATGAATCCCGATGTAAAAATCCCCAAAAATAATTCTATCATGGTTTCCATATAAATATTAGTATACAAGTTTACAACATTGATAATAATAGTAAATGTTTCTTGAGCCTTAAAACGATGCCCATTTTCCACAAGTTGATATGATTCTTTAGGGTCTTAATGAAAAGTCTGTAACATAGTTTGGTTAAAATTTCTCAATGGTAGTGTAAAAAACACCCTTTTTACCCTGTCAAAAACAGCTCTTTTCAGAGCAAGCCGTTTTTGTAGCATTTTCCTTTAAATGTTAATGAGCTCTGCTGACCCCGCCCCTCTCTTCCAAGCTGCTCTCAGAGAGACTGTTTACTTTAGCCGCATTCATCGTGAAACTTGCTAATTAGCACATTATTAGGAAAGGCGATTTGCAAAGATTCATTACAAAACCTTA